TAAGTAGAAATTCTATTACAAATATTGTCGTGATACCTTTCATCTCTCTCTATATATTATATACTTCGTGTCACTGATTATGACTCACCACCACCCTGTGAGGCAGTGAAGGTTTATATCTATTTTGTAGGTGGGTAGCAGCAAGACTTTTGTACCAGTTCCAGGCTCCAATCCAGAAATAAAGTTTCCAAATACATTTTTTTAAGTTTCCTCCTAGCACCTTCAATGTTCATTGTTTCCATTGTGGAGCTCGCTGGTAAATGGTTACCAAGTTTCATATTTTTACCACATTTGTTCAGTATTCTCTCCTCTTGATACAGTCTAAGGGCACAGACTCATGCACAAGTTACTGTAAAATACAACATCAAAGGACCAAACAAGTCAGGAATATTGCAATATCTGAATCATTTGCAAGGAGCTGGTCTGTAATAAGTGCACAAGTATATATTCTTACCCCATAGTAAATGAAGGCTAACTTGTGGCAGCTTACTTTACAATGAATTTAATTTACTTTGTGGTGCTTGTTCATGTGCTCATATTCTAAAACACTTCATGGATGTCCAGATTCCACTAAAAAAATTGCAAACTTTGTTCTTCACCTCAGATTGAATACAATGTGCCCTGAAGCACAAGTACTGTAATTCAAACACATTCAGTTACTACTACTACTACTACTACAGAGCGGTACCAGATCCATAATAGATGTGTTTTAGTAATATACTTTTAAGAATCACACTATGAATGAACTTCCCTAAAATGTGGTGAGGGCAAAGAGAGTTACATGTATATACTATTCATAGTGTTCACAGCGTCAACACACAATAAAGGAAAATGGAAATCTAAGTGGACTATACAAAACCTACATTACTTGGAACTGATTAAAAGGTTTTGGAAATGCAGCAGAAAGGTTACTTGCAGAAATAAAGTTAGGAGTATATTGAATAAATCTCAAATTTTAAGGACTCAGGAGCAAGGTGCCCTCAAGGGTGAAGAGAAAAGGGCTCAGGGTTCACTGCATAGCCATGTCTGTTTATTATTATTTATACAACACCTGAACCTATGTTAGGTAGAATAGAGACATGAGCTCTATCCTGGAGATGAAGCTCATGCAGGAGTGTAACAAAGCCAGGAGAAAATAGAAACAAGAAGAACTGAAAAAGAAGGGTTTGTTTCACTGTGAGACTCTCATTTGTGCTTGTAAATAAACTCATCATTTCTTGTAACCCAGCAGTAGAGAGACTTCAATGAAGAAAGGATTATCACTTGCCAGGACAGACAGGACCATTGCTAACCTAGTTTTTAAACTTCACAGAGGGAATGGATGCTGGGATAGGTGGCTAATGACCTGGAGAGAGAACACATTTATGGAGGTGTACACCAGTATAAGTGTCACTAGTTTTTACCTCACCTGAAGTGGCAGGGCAGGATGGCACTGTAAAGACTAACTCATTCAGACAGGCATAAGGTGTCGTAGTTGACATCATCTGACAAAGCAGGCTGCCGCAGTTAAAAACTTGCCTGTCTGAACGAGTTGGTCTTTAAGATACCACCCTGCTTTGCTTTCTAACTGACTTTAGACTCAGTTCCCAGTCACATGTTAAATTTAAAGTGTGATACTGAATTTACTGCATTATTGTACCTTAAAAAGTGTGTGCATGTGTGACCAGTTACTACTTAAGTTACAATTAATCTGTTAACCACATCTTAAATATAACATGCGTTGGGACCCTAACACTGCTACTTGAGAGAGAGGCAGTTATTAAAGTGCTGTAATAGCTGCTTATTCCATCCAGCTACCCTGGGATATCTGCATTGCTGGTCACTGAAGATTCCAGCACAGTTTACATTGGACTGCAAAACTGGTACAAGTTATACCAATGTAAATGCCTTGTCTGTCCAGGCTTTGAAACACCTACTGCTGGATTTTGAAGAGAAATGAGGACTCTGAAGCTGAAGTTGGGCAGTCCTTTGGATTCCCCCCTCCCCCCCCCCCCCCACACACACCCATATTCAGTGATTAAAAAATGGCATTTTTCATTCAGCGATTAAAAAAATGGCAAGTACCTTTATTAGCAGATGATGGGTGCATCTACACATGCGCTTTACTGCAAAGTTGACTAATTAGCTCTGCAGCAAAGCATCTCTGTCTATGTGTGCACCCATATTAGGGTGCAGTAAATTAATGAACTCCATCATAGGATAGTGCTGTCCGGGAAACTGCAGTCAACTCCAAAATGAACATGAGTCACCAGTGTGATGAGGCAATAAGTAAAGCTAACCACACCCTTTCTTGCATAAGCAGGTGCATCACAAACAGGTCTAGGGAGGTGATACTTCCCCTCTATGCGGCATTGGTCAGGCTGCAGCTGGAGTCCTGCATCCAGTTTTGGGTACCGCACTTCAGGGATGTGGATGCCCTGGAGAGGGTTCAGAGGAGGGCTATTCATCTGGTTAGAGGCCTACAGAAAAAACCCTATGTGGACCTATTGGGAGACCTGAACCCCTTCAGCCCCTGCAAGAGAAGGCTGAGAGATGCTCTCGTGGCCACCTACAAACTCATTAGGGGGGCCCAGCAAGAAATAGGGGATGTAATGTTTACCAGGGTGCCTGTCAGGGTAACTAGAAATAATGGCCACAAACTGGAAGAGAGCAAATTCAGATTGGACACCAGGAAAAAATTCTTTACAGTGAGGGTTGCCAAAATATGGAATAAGCTTCCAAGGGCGGTGGTGCTGTCCCCTTACTTGGAGGTATTTAAAAGGAGATTGGACAGACACCTGGCTGGGGTCATCTGACCCCAGCACTCATTCCTGCCCAGGGCAGGGGGTTGGACTTGATGATCTAATAGGTCCCTTCTCGACCCTAACATCTATGAAACAATGAAACTATCCTATGGCGGAAGAATTTAGGCTCCTGCAGCACACGTGTAGATGGTGCCTGGGGCTGGATAGGACACAAAGAAGCTACAGTATGGGTGCTGCCTGCTGGCTAGCCCTGCACTGTAACATCATTGTGCCCCAGTCGACCCCAACGCTACCCAATGCTGCCACCCAGAACCTGGGGCTACTCTGCCATGACTCAAATTGCTGTGATCCCAGGTACACAAGTAAACACTGCACCCAGGAGCAGCTGACTCTAGTGCAAACTGTGCTGGCATTTATTGCGTTGGAGTAATTACACGTGTAGATACACCCAGTTAGTATCTTGGATGACCTTGCATGGCTTGTCAAAAGGGGGTTTGGTTTTGTGATTCATCTTGCACCGCTGTTCTTTGAGAAGAACTACAAGTTTTACCGGAGACTTCCACATAGGCTTTTCAATTGCATAACATAATGGAACAAACATTAAAATATATAAATAGGGGTGTGAAACAGTGACCCTGAGGTAGTACTCTAATCCAGCCAACTCCAACACTTTACCCAGGAAGCCTGCTTTTCAGAGCTCTACCAGTTTCTAGGGAGTAATGAAACCAGCTGACAAATATATTACAAGTAGCAGTAAAGATTTTGTAGTTGACTTGGCAGATTCTGTGCATAGAAGGAGAGGGGTTGTCACACCAGTGTAACATTCTCACTTCTTATTTTTTCAAGCTACCTTTCCTTGGGGCAGGAATTAAGATTCATGAAAGAAGGGTTTCTGAAAACCTTCGTCCTTTCCATGAGCGTATGGAGGAGTGTTTCAAGCACTTAAAGGTTAAAGTAGAAAAACAGTATGGAGTCAGAGAATTGGTAAGGTTCTTCTTTTATGTCCCTCCTCACTCCTACACTTTCCGTTTATTTAGAACATTGCCTGTACTTTTCATATAAGCAAAGCACCTCCTGCACTTGTGTTACTTAAGGACTGTCCTATGATCTGAAGTTACTGTGACCTGAATTTTAAACAGCCAAGTACCTCTCTGAATTTTAGTCAGAGGAGTTAATTAATTCCCTGATGCATTAAACATCCCTCATTCTGAGATTTGTAATCTCTCCCCATCCCTATTAAAACTGCATTCCTTTTTGACACTAGAAAGAAATAGAAACAAATACTCTGAAAAAATGTTATGACATACTTTTCCCCCCCTCTCTGTAATTTTTAGTGGTTCAGAGCTTTGATCTACACTTAGTGCCCATAGCTCCCTGCACTTAGCTAATTCTAAACCTGTTTTAAAGCAAACACTGATTGTGTGTGATATTATCATAAATAATAGCTGTGACCTAAACTAGTAAGAAGTGGGAAGTTAAAGGATAAATCTAATCACAATGTCTTCCAGTCACCTCTCAAATAAAACCACTTAAATGTCTGAATATTGTTTTAACAGTTTGTTGGTTTCAGAAATTAGATACTCGTTGTTTGGGAAATTATGTAGTACTGCATTCAAATTTGATTAGAGAAAAAATTAAAGTGGACAATTTCTTACCTATGCTTTTGGTGCTATTCTGTGCTGGGACCCCAAACTATGCAATTCCAGGCATTTATCTGAGTATTTTTCTATAACCTGCTCTCTGCAATGTTATTGTATGCTGCCCCCCTCACCACCTGTTTGTATTAACTTTTGTAAAACTAAACAGCAATCTATGTATGATTTTATATATGGCACAAGAGAGTATATTATTTCTCTCCTTTACTACATGCTCTCTTTTTCTAAGCCTCCCATTTTCAACTGGGTCCACAGTATTGCCTGAAACATAAACCCTGACAGTTTATCTATCTAATTTAATCTCTTGAGATTTATGGTCAGTGTCCAAGCTGGTCTAATGTAACTCTTTAGATGCAAATATCTCTCATACTCACTCTGAGGTTCAGTATTCAACATAGCAGTGGGGTATGCTGTTAGAAATGTAATTACATTCAAAGATACATGATTCAACAGGGTGAATTATTTTATCGCTATTCAAGAAATTCCTCATAAATGAATATACTTGCTAGATAGTAGTATTTAAGACATTTTATCATACTCAAGAGAAGCCAGTTAGTTTGAAATACAGCACCATTTCCTTTTTATCATCCTTCATTCTGTTTCTGGCTGCTGGTGTGAGCTCTTTCATTTAAAGGGTAGTTGCACCTATTGTGTCTTATCACTATATTCTAGGAGCTCATGGAATGAGAAGTAATTATCAGTGAACATAAACTGTAAAAAGTATTTTCAAAATAAACTTTGGAACTATACATGGTTTTTCTGAGCCTTGACAGCCTTAGTGAAAAGTGACAGCATCAGAAACTAGCAGCATGGGAGTTCAGCATATGAGATTCTATACCAGTTTCCATACAGATTCCAAATGATCTGAACCATCAAAATAAGAACTTTATTATGTAACTATTAAACATTGTGAGTCTTGGATTTTTAAAAAACTATTCTTGCATTTATTAAGGAAAAATTAAAACAAAACGGAAAGTAGTTCACAAAGTCTGTGTTCAGAAATGCTTTGAGACCTGTAATATTTCATACAATTATGATGAACTAAATGTGGAAAGTTCACACTTAAAAATTCTCTTCAGGGAATATATCAATTGAGAAAAAGGAGGACAAGTCTAAATGCACAGTTCAATTGCAATCGCCAAATTCACTTCCCAAAAATGGAAATGAGTGCAGATATTGAGATATGTGCTGGAAACTGGCCAAGAAGTTTGAACCTCAATGCTGCATGCCAGCATGAGAAAACACAGCATAAGAATAAGAAAGGCAGGGGTTACAGTCACTGATATAGACATGGGCTAGGGACAGACATTCACAGATTCACAGAAGTTTAGGACTGGAAGGAACCTCGTGATATCATCAGGTCCAGCCCCCCTGCTCTGGGCAGGAAAGACTGCTGGCAAAAAGCCTAAACCTGAATTTGAATCAATCTTTTCAGGTTAGTCTAACCTGGCTAGGCTGAATCACTTTGCAAGTGCATAAACATTCCCTCTGGACTGAGAAAATGCAGGTATATGCCTACAGTGGCTCAGGCTAGAAGCTGGGGGTGCTAGAGTAGCCCTCCCATCCCTTACACATTGCAAGGCCCTCTCAGGATGCTCTGATTAGGGAGGGGTTCCCCTCCACCCTCGCTGCTCCTGACCAGCAAGGGAGCCAATAGGGAGTTGATAACACAATGTTTAGTACCTCATCAAGAAAACAAAAGCCTCTCTCATTAGTTCAAGGTCTTCTTAAACAACTTTTTCCAAGGAAGGAATGGAAGGACATTATCAGATGAGCTGTTGATTAGCGCCAAAAAGTCCTAAGCGGACACTGTTCTGTCTGCCTTACACAGACACACCTCAGCATTAACTAGCAGGCCACATGCTGGCTATGGTCCATACTCTGTTGGGGGAGGGGGGCAGGGAAGGGGCAGGGAGAAGCCAGGCAGACACTGCTGTGCCTGCAATCTTTGCCGGAGCTCCAGCCAGGGAGTAGAGAGGTGGGGTCATCCCTGCTCTGGAGCAGACAGCTCAGCCCAGGGCTGCAAAGCATTTGGGATGATGGGGGACTCTGGTTTAAGTTAAACCAGGAAGGAGTCTGAGACAGACAGTGCATAAACCAGTTTGACCCAAATCATTTAAGTCTCAAACCAGTAATATTGGAAACCAGTTTCAGCCATTTTCAAACTGGTTTATGAGCACTGAACATCTGTTCTGTTACAGGTTTAAACCAGTTTCTGATCACTGAAACCGGTTTCTGTGTAATGTCTGTCCCTAGCCATGGTCTCCTGTTTCCATCTATTACTGGTGGAAAGAAGAAATAAGACACATGAATAACCAGCTCAGTTTCCTGCTACAATGACCACTATTGGCTAATGAATGAGGGTTGCAGTCAATCTCCCTTCTTCCCTGAGTATACTGAAGACCTGCCAGTATATGATTAGAAGGAATAGGAATAGATAGAATAGCCAGTATGACCAGAGTGAGCAGTCTGACCTGATCAACCTATCTTTTGCCACCTTTTTTGCCCGCTGTTTGAAGCAGTCAGCACAGCGACATCCAGGGAGAGGAAGAGGAGGTTGACTATAAAAAGGAGGCGGCATCAAGACTTAGGACTAGACAGGTAGCAAGGATGCTAGTTTGTAGCATATATTGGCCAGAGCTATTTTATAAAGCAAGTATGCTTTTCCCCCCCTGCCATGCCTGTTTCCTTCCAGTATCTTTTTGTTCCTTGCATGTGTTGTGTATCCTTGCCTTTCTCAGCATAGAACAAACTGTGCAAGGATGTTAACTACATATTTTCCCAAAATGCAATGTTATTCTCCCACTTAGTTTGAAAATCCAGTGGCTAGGTTCATATCCAGAAACAAAATCAGAGTACTAGAATTCTGCATCTTGGTTAATCAACAATTTCCAGCAAATCCATTCTTAGAACATATAGTTCTATCATCCTCAGAAACTAGCTAAGAGTCATTCAGTGTAGTACATGCAAACTTTGTTAATAGTATAGTTTTCTCTTTTCTGTCTTGTAGCCAGATTTTGATGACAAGAGAGTAGGACGGCCAAGATCCATGCTGAGATCCTATCGTCAGATGTCTGTTATTTCACTAGCTTCTATGAATTCAGACTGCAGCACTCCAAACAAAATTGTCTCAGAAAGGTTGGTCATTAATATCTCAATAAGTTCTTTCACTGCCACATCCTATGTTCATCCAGTTTTGTATAACCAAACATAAGACCACAGCAAAACAGTAAGAGAGCTAAAACAATAGTGAGTGCTTTGGACAATGCCAACATCATCTTTTCATTAAAGCCAGAGCTGTTTCAGACACTGAGATATAATATTTTATGTAATATTCAATTTCTAATTATGGAAAGACAAAATGCACTCAACATTCATTTTAGGTGGGAGAGGAGAATGACTGTTCTGTTTTAAAATAACTTATTTGGCTTTCAGATATTATTTTACAAATATTACAAATACTTTTAAAAAATAACATTTGTAAGATCAAGAAAATGCGACATATTTTTGTTGTATATTTTTAGCTTACCTGTTATGCAACCCAATTGTTTTTTGTATAGCTTGTAAATATATGGAAAGGAGCAAGAAATGATTAGAACAGCTTCTACCCATTATACTCCATGAAATGTAGATCTTTGCTTTATATTTTCTCTCTCAAGCTTTGGGGAGATTGCGTATGCTGGCACATTTAAAATCAGAGTTTTTTCCATATACAAACTATCTGCCAGGTTTGGACCCCTGTGTCTAACCACCAACCCTAGGATGCACAGATATAAGATAGGTGTGTTATTTCTAAACACATAAGGCAATTATAAAATATATTTTAACGAAGATTATGTTAGCTTTTAAAAACAAAGAACCAGACTACAATTAGGAAATATGGTCCCAATTTGGAAATTAATTTGCTTAAAATATAAGTTTAGTTCTTGCATCTTCAGCATTGATAATTTAATATACTTATAATGTTTTTTTAATGCTAGCAAGTCACTACCATGTGTGAGGTGGCCAGATCAGCAGTACTGTTATTTGCTTTCTTGCATGTGCTGATTCTAGTGTCCCATACTAAGTCTGAACAAGGTTCATCTTGTTCCAAAGTTCAACAGGTTAATTATATCTGAGGAGACAAGTTAAGGATACTCATTTCATGTGCTATTTCTGTTGATAAGAAGTGAACCATGTTTCAGCTGTAAACTTGTTTTGGAAATGGTTGCAATTTGTGCAACTGTTTTCCTTCCCAAAGATTATTGGCTAATCTATTTAGCTAATTGCCAAGTTGGTGCATGATTTGCAAAGTAATGAAAAAAAAATCCTAAATTTATAAAGGGATTCACTTAGGGTGAAAGTTAACATTATGCTTAGAGCATAATAAACTGGTGTTAAAGTTAGAATGAACTGTGAGCAGTCACACATCAAGGGTTAATACAGTTTCTTGCCTGTTCTGACCTGGAACTAGAGGGTTGGTGTGTAGAGACATGGCTAGGAGCTAGAAACCCGGGCTCTATCCCCAGTCTGGGTAAGTGTGGGAGAAGTACAGGTTGGAGCCACTAGGGCTCCTACTGTTGGGAGCTCCCCCATTAGGGCTGAGGTGTTGGGGGCCTACAGATTGCTCATTTCATCTCTGTGGAGCACACTGAAGTTACCCTAAAATGAGCTAGGTGGCATAGCCCAGCGTTAACTTTCACCTGAAGTGGTGTAACTGTGAGATTCTCAGAGAGTGCTTAGCACGAGTTAATGAAATTTAATGTGCAGATGTGCATGCTTTAAGTGCCCTAAGTATGGTCTAAGTGTAATGTGTAATTTCATGCTATTATATCACAAGGCATGAAAGGAATTGTATTACTCCTGTCCTAATGTGCTCAACCAGCAAAATAGCCTAGTTTGCTTTCAGCATCCATATCAAAACTGTGGCTTCATAATAACTCTGGCTATATATAAATTAGGTAGCTTGGAGCTAATCTGCAGTGGTGGCTACAAAACAGATGAGACTTGCATTTCAGATTAATATTTAACAAACTCTATAACACTGTAAGCTAGCTTAACGTGTCCTATGAGGCTCCTATTAGATAGTTGTCAACCAGAGCACATAGTACTGTGCACATATCTATCATTTTGTATTGGCCTGCAAGGCTGTACAGAAAAATCAGCGCTATGAATGATCACAACTATATTTCTATTTCATAAGAAATTATGTCATAATACCACTGTTTTTTTATAATATAATTTAGCATGTTTTTTCTGTTTTATATTTGCTACAGTTTTGAACTGGAAGTAGCACCACAAAAGCCAACCAAATCAGAAGAGAATGTACTGCAGACAACCACTCAGCCTGAGGTGAAGATGAGAAGGTCCAAGAAGAGAACAAAAAGAAGCAGTGTGGTATTTGCAGATGAAAAACCAGCACCTGATCTTTGCCTTTCTGATATGAAATGTGTATGTTACCAACCTAGAACACTTTTATACACTCTCCAAATAGAGGATTTTCTTTCATTTAAAATCTGTTCTGAAATACTCTTTGCTCTATCACAAAAAGCAACCTGCAGAGACTGAGGGCTAGATCTTTAGCTGGTATAAATCAATGCATCTCTGTTGGCTTCCCAGCTGGGAAATCTGGCCCATAAGCTCCAGACTCCTGGTGCCTAGTCAGCTATAAATGAACTACTTGGTTGGGAGGGATAAACTAGGTTTCCTGGGGAGAAGCAATTGGCTCTGCTGCCATTTTATGGTATCCCCTTCCAGTCAGGGTTATTTCAAAAGTGATGAGTCCTGTACATTCTGTACCTTGTTACAGGACATGCAGCTGTTAGGAAATTGCAAGTTTGCAAACTGTGTTCTTTAAATGGTGCCAAGCCAGAGTGTTTAAGTCGTGGTATCTCTTTAGTGCCATATATCATCTAAATGTCTTTATAACACTAATAGATCATTGGAATAACTTCCACTGTGCAATTTTTGCAATTTTATCCTCAGTAGACAAATGCTTGTGAGTGAAAAAGGAGGAGTCATTAAAACAAAATCTATGAGAGGTTTACTATTGATAGAGAAGGCTTTCTAAATATCAAGCCTGTAACACAGCTGAATTAGAAAGGTGAAATATGTCATTTGATCAAAATCTTTCAGATGCATTGTTAAAGGCAAGCTGAATTATTTCCATGTAGGCATAAAGCCAGCATCTATTTAAAAGACCCTGGGACTAATTCATCAGTACTCTAACTGATCTGACTAAGAAAAAGATAAACCAAAGATGGATGTGATCTTTTACATGTGAACATAAAACAGGATTTTCTTCTGGAATTATGTCTTTTATAAGACCAACTGTATGGTTGGGATAAAGTTCGTTACACATTGACATGCAAGGCTGAAAGGCATTCTTTTTCAGGTCTCTTTGAGTGATCTCAAGAAGAAAACCTTGCATTTGAAAACTTGTCTGACTTCGCCCCCAACCCCGAGAAAAAAAAAAATCTTTGCTTCTTGCATAATTTCTTGACCATCAACACTACAACATCACTCTAATACTACCATAACATAAAACAGCAAAGTTCCAAATTAAATAGCTTTTTGGAACTGTTTTTTTTTTCTTTTTTCATTGCTGGAACCTGCATTCAGGGTTCTGTTTTGGCACATCACTGACATAATTTGCACTCTCTGTGCATATGAAAAGGTGAATTACCCATGGATATAAGATATAAAATGGGACCGTTGGCCTTATCTTCATTAGACAGAAATACAGTTGATACAAGTGCAGAAAAAGGTCCCCCGACCACAAGCCACCCCTTGAACCATATTATACTATATTATATACCTGTGGTAGCCCACAGGTCATGTGCAGCCCAGGGGCCTTAAATTGTGGCCCCTGGGCTCCCTCCTGGCTCCCCCTGTCACTCTGATTGTACCAGCAGGTGGCACCCACTTTGACTTCCCCTTCCTGCCCCCACCCCAGGCCAGTGTAGCCTGCTGCCCAGAGCACCTGAGCAGTGTGGTACAATAGGGGAGCCCACAGCTAGGGAGGTGAGGGTGAGGCACATGGTGCAGCATTGGGAAAAGCAGGGCATGGGCAGGCAGGCCATGCAGAGTATGGCGCTGGTCCTATGTCATCCACTCATGCAACCTGCAAGTAATCTGGCCCATGGCTACTTTGAAGTTGGACAGCCCTGAGATAATATATGGCTGGTGGGTGAAGATATGTAAATCAGCATTTGGCTCCATCCTTAAAAGGAAGGAGGGAAAAGCGTTAGTTTACAACACTGCTTAAATCTTTTTCAACACCATTTCAGGTATCACAGTTTACTAAAAACCTTTTTTCAGCAATGGTTTGGTTTCCTATTGTACACTATGCTTTGCAGGCAGCACAAAGCCCAACATGGTTGGTATTGCTCATTTGCTCTGACTAAAAATAATCCAAATTCCCCCTACTATGAAGTATCTCTATGTGGCCACTCATTCGAATGCAAATCCTTCTTACAAAGAATAAAAAGCTGTGAACATGGACCAAGAGACTTAGTTAGCCATGCTAGTCTGAAGTCAAGTAGAAAGCAGGGTAGATTTACACCTTATAGATAAACAAAGAAGATACAGTGGATTCTGCTTTATAGAATCATTGGTTAATAGAATCAGATACTTATTTGAATCAATATGGGAAAACCAAAACCATTTGAATATTATTACACATAAAAATCACTCATATTAGAATCACAATTTTTGGCTTTTGGAATCATTTTACCGGAGAAGGCCAGGGATTTTGCAGCAAGCCCTCTGCAGGCTGGCAGAGTTCCAGTCTGCAGGGGGCTGGGAGGCAGTGGGAAGAGGGTGGTCAGGCAGGGGGTGCCATGTGCATGTACATGCACATGGCTCCAAGCACCCTGGAGAACAGCTCCCACAGGTGAAAGGGTAGGGTGGGGATGGGAATTGAGCCCCCAAAGGGAGGGAGGAAGTTGATCAGGGCTGGAGCCACAGTAGGGAGTGGGACAGAGCTGTGGGTGGCTCATCCAGGGGGTGGGGGCTGGGGTCCCTGGCCTGACTGTGTGGTTGCTTTGAGAGGCACAACCTCACTGCCCATGCCTGCCCCCACCCCACACCAGGCACAGATCTGTGGGGCACAGGTCCCCCTCTGCCCCTCCAGGACTGCACACTGCACCAGGGAACTGGCCTCCCCCTGCACCCAAGCCCACAGTGGGCAGCAGCAGGTGGGAACCTGGGCTCTGCTCTACTGCAGCAGCTGCTGCCTCCTGCTGGGGGAAGGGGGCTGCGGACCCAAGTCCCTGGCCATAGCCCTGGCAGCTCAGGGATCCTTCCAGCAGTACTGGGGGGCATGGGGCTGTGGTGGGGGGGAGGTGAGGGGCATCAGCAGGGCTGAGGGGGCTGTGGGGGGAAGTGAGAGGCACGAGCAGGGCCAGGGGGCTGTGGGGGAGGAGTACCTGTGTTCTTAAAAAAAACAGGTCTCCTTTTAATGGAATTAGCTGGTTAATAGAATCAAATAACTGTTTCCAAAAGTGATTCCAATAAGAGGAATCCACTGTGTGTGTGTGTATATATATATATATATCACAAGCCTTCATGAGCTGAAGCATCTGATGAAGTGAGCTTTAGCTCAAAAAAGCTTGTGCTATATATATTATCTACTTTAGTTAGTCTATAAAGTGAAAATCTACCCTGCCTTCAACTGGAACAAAATCAGGATAAGTCACCTGTGCAGAAAGATATGATTACAGCTTTTTACAGGGAGAAGAAAAAAAATATTGTACCTAAGCTCAAAATCTCCCCCAAGCCTTGTTGTAGTACTTGGAAATGACATTATAGAATATTCTGGTTTTGGTGCTTGAGTAATAGCAGTCTCATTTGACCTTTTACCTGTACAGTTGGACTCTGTGCAGTACGATACAGTGTCATTCCCTCTCCGCTCTCCAGTACAGGGGACCATTATACAATTAAGGTGCTTAAAACACCCTAGTGTGGAGGCTGCTCTGATGAACTGTAATTACAGCGCAGTGGAGCAGACTTGATTAATCAAGTCTGCTGGAGTATGGTAATTACCATGCTCCAGCCAGCCTCCATGTCTGGTGTATCAGTATCCCCATGCTTCAAAATGGTGACAGGGGTGCTTTATCTAAAACTTGTTTGACGAGCTTTAGATAAAGTTCTCCTGCCACCATTTTGAAGCATGGGGATGCAGATACATAGGATGCTCCAGGTGCTTTAATTAGAGCAGCTCTTGGAGCCACTCTAATAAAAGCACCCCCCACCCTCGCCCTCATCCCAGAGCACATATATAGATGCCCTAACATACCACTCAGAGAAAGTATTGATTCCTGGGACTTCAACTTATTATTTCTGCAGCTCACAGAGCCTCCCTTTGAACCTCTCTTAGACTTTTCTTGCACTACTTCTGAAGACTGTCTTTCTAGTGGTTTTCTCCTCAGTCAGAAGAGTAAATGCATCTCAGGCACTTCTGGCTGAACCTCAACATGAGGTTACCAGGACCTCCCTCAAAGCTCATTGTCACAGAGCACTTAGGTACCCTGCTCCTTTAAAGAGTGGAAACTGCTAGGAAAAGAGCCCTAGCAGTGAGTGGGGAGCCCCCAGCTGCTGGCTACCGGGGCAAGCTGAGTGACCTAGTGGCCCACACCTGCCAGCGGTCAGCTGACCCGACTGGCTCATATATAAACCCCAGAGCTGGGGCCAGGATGGCAGTTCCCTACCAGCAGCCAAGGGGGAAGGAGCTTTCCCAGGGCAACTGAAGGAGAGAGGTCTGACTGCAGGTACAGCCTCTAATACTGCTGAGGGATGGAGCACCCCTGGTGTGGCTTGAATGATGTTATAGCCGGGCAGCTTGAATTTATGTTATAGCCCAGGGGCTTGTGTTTTGTTTGCTGTTTAAGACCGGTGGTTTGGGTGAGGCTATTAGGGGATGGAGGCGGCCTCATAGGGGACCCATGGCAGCATGCTGACCCCGGCGCCAGAGAGGGCGTAGCATTTGGGGGTGCACCGACCCCAGCGCCAGAGAGGGCACAGCACTTTGCAGAGCTGTGGAAAGCCCAGGCGCCAGAGAGGGCGCAGCACTTTGCAGGGCCACAGGGAGCTCAATCGCCAGGGAGGTGCAGTGCGAGACAGGGCCGTGTGGAGCCTGACCACCAGGGAGGCGTAGGGCGAGATGGGAGCCAAATTTATAACAGGGCCCAGATTGAACATCAGTTCCATCTGCAAGGCTTGGGGCATGGTAAAGGGATGGTTGGAGCCATGCGTAGCCCATAAGGCGAGGGTGCTCTGAAACATCCATTGTGACATCTATCCTGGAGCGGGACCCACCGCGGGTCCAGGGACCCACGGGGTCCTGGGGTCCAATCTTGACCATGTCCAAGAGGACTTAGAGGCAGCCTCCCTATCAATCATTCAATCAAAGATGTGGCGGGCGAGAATCAAGGGTGACCATTGGGCCAACTTGGCACGGTAAGGGGGCCTGGGGAAGATCACAGCCATCCTACAGGACCCCATCCCATGACACTCATGCCTCAGGTTGTCTCAGACCTTCATGTAAAGGTCAGTGCACCCACCTGTCTTCTTTTTCAAGCCATGCTTAGCCCTGGAAAAACAGAAACTGCATGTTTTTAATGTATGTCGGACTTTATCCCGTTACGTTAAGAGGTTCAAACAAGCCAGATTGTCACCCTGTCTGTTTCTAGCCATTACCAAGTATTCTAAAGGTCAAAATGATTACTGACGTAGGAAACATAGCTGGCTGGTGTTATCAGCTGCGTTATCAGATGGTTGATGTACTTCTCCCACTGAACCTCAAGGCTCACTCCCTTAGAATGCAAGCAACATCCTCTTCTTCAAGTACGTGCCTGCATCAGAAATCTGTCTTAAATTACCTGGTGACCACTCTCACATGCTTGCCCTGGACTTGACTGATAGGCCAGATGCCAAACTCAGGAAAGCAGTACTACAATCAGTGTTCAGTGAGTGCAACTGAAACTTTCCACTCCCTCCATCAGGTGGATGATACATGCACGAAGAAGAAAGACATTATTATTTATTCTACACTAATTTTGGTTCCTTGGGAGGGTATTGTCCATATGGATCTCATAATCCACTTCATATCCACATTCCAGTATCCTAAGCTACCATGATATTCAAATTGTGAGGAAACTGAGAACGTATTGAGATTCCTGAAAAAAACATTGGTTTATTTTCGTACATAGGTGGCTTAACCTGGCTTTGTCCTTGTTCACAGCTTTGTGTTCATTTTGTAGCACACGCACATTTCTTATGAGATTTTGCAATGTGGAAGAGACAGAGAACTGTCTGCCCCATGCTTCATGCCCTTGCATAAGAACATGAGGAGACACCAGGTGTAGGAGCAGCTCTGTCAGACACTATTTTGTTTTATTTTTTTTTAAAAAGTAGATGCATTCATTTGCAAGAGGCACATATGCACCTAAAATTGGATCTAAGCTGAAAGAAACTCACACAATTCACTGCCAATTCATTGTAGAAGTTGGCATTTTTCCAGCATCTAAGCTGGCAATGCTAATGCTCCAGGGGTGAAAAAAAAACTTCTTCTCAGGGCTTCAATTTATTTTCCAATAGTCAGTCTCAATTTACTGACAGGATTATTCCACATCAGGTAGACTATATACTCTTTAATGTCCATTTTTCTTCCTTCAGTTCGTAGAATATTCAGAATGTGATTAAGTATATTTTTTTTTACTTGAGTTTACATAGAAAATTATACGCTTTCATGTTCTCTTTGGGCCAAATTCTCGTATAAAGCACTACACAGTGGACATGTCTACACATGCAATTAATGTACAGCAATAAACTCCGGCACGTAATGTGCACTGCATTTTAATGTGCACCCAAGACTGCAGTACGTTGAGCCAGGCCAGAGCAGCCTTGGCTGGCAGAGGACCCAGGGGGTCAGCCTGCCAGCCCAGAGCTTCTCTGACCCAGCTCAACATGCTGCAAAGGGACTGGCTGGGGCATGAGGATGTTCCAGTGTAGAGCTAACTAATAGGCAACCACCATACTGAACCACCCTCATGCACCACCCAGCCCCATCAGCATCTACACATGTGTTGCTGAGAAGTAAAAAACTGCCATAGGATAGTACTTGTGTTTACAAGTACTAACCTATGGCGGAGTTAATTAGTTTACTCCATCCTAATAGCACTGCATGTGTAGATGCTGAGATGCTTACTGTGGACATAATTAGGCAACTTCACAGTAAACATCTCATGTTGATGCCCCCAGTGGGGCTAAAAGCAGAATTATTTTCTTCCATATAACAAATAAGTTGCTCATTTTGCCTAGTGTATTGCTATTGGTTATATTTTAGTTCACCATTAATGGTAACTTTGTTTTATATAACTAGCTGTCAAGGAAATACGAGTTCATGAGTGACACCAACCTCTCAGAACATGCAGTAGCACCTCAGAAAACATCTGTTCTCAAGCAAATGAGCTTTGTCAGTCGATCTATGCCAACTATACCAGGTAAATTAACTATGGTAAGACTGCATGCTGCACCAATTGTTTAAGATAGACCCAAAACTAAAAATAAGCTTTTTGTCCTTTGTTCCATGGAGGCTGAATCTAAAGTTCCATCTTTAGGGCTGAAATAGAGTTGGCTGGGATAGCACGTAATGTGTGACGTACCTTGAAATGCATGTTGGAAAAATCTATAGAACAATACCCACTTATTACACTGTTGAAATTGCAAATGAACTTAAAAAGTTCTAATAGAACATTGCTTTGAAAAATTGTCATTGCACCAACCTTCATCTAAATAAAGAAAGTGTCCCCAAAACATTAAATCCCTGCTAATGAAATTCTCCCAGGTTATCTTTGTTTTACTTAAATCATGTTATGGTAGAAAAAGTCATTGTAAGCTATTGCTTTCTTAGGAATTACCCTAAAGCTGAGTCTGCTGTATGTCACCCAGCTAAAACTTTGTGTGCAAAAATCCAAAAAGGCCTGTAGTACAGCCAGCACAAGTTTTTATCTCTGTTCCACATCACAATTAAAAACCAAAAATCCAAAAAATCCAATTTGCATATGTTTCCAGAGAGAAAAGGTCCATTGGTCTTTTCTGCCCTGTAGAACTTTATTTATGGAAGCAAGATCTTCAATGGTCTGTGATCCAAAGGCAGAGTGCAGAAAGGGAAGAAAAGGAAGAGAAAACTTTGCTCAGGAAAACGCACCACAACATTGGGTTACAGCACCAGTGCAGGGAAGTTTAACAAGTAGAGGCAAGATGAGATTTGTTTGTAGATTTAGGGAAACCTCTGTGATTGACATCACAACTCTCCCTTGAGAACAGGGAGAGGAACAGATCAAGTAACAATATAGCTGCTGGAAAGACTGGCCTTGGGATATTGATAGATTTAATACGTTCCCCAAATAAAGCTTTGTTTTTTCCAAAAACTTTTACCATTAAGAGGAGCTTGCCCTCTTTATAGACCAGTATCCTAAAATTATAGCTCTCTTTCTCCTTTCATTTGTATGAGGACAAATCAGGAGTCACATTGGCGTACACAATGGAATTACAGTAATATAAGGCCAGAGTCAGTGAGAGGAGACTCAGGCCTCCTTCCTGTTCGCTACACAGTTGAAATGTAACTAACTCTTAACTAGGCTTGGTAGGATTAAAGTTTTATCAGTAAATGATAAACCTTGATTTCACCTCACACTCACAGACCAATGAAAAAATATTTCCATTGTTAATAATCAAAATGTATAAAAAATGTGCATAAGAAAAATGATGCCTGATGGAGTGTGTAAGTATGGAGGGCGGGGGGCAGTCCTACAGAAGCATGCTGACTGTAGTTTTGATGGCAATTCCCAGAAGCCCAAGGAGACTGGAAACAAAGAAAGAGGGAGTGAAAAAGCGGACAAGGAATCTCTGGGTGAGCAGAGCTAGAACTGATGGCAGCTTTGCTGTTCAGTTGGAGGCAGTCCTACAGTAGTTATATTTGTTGTGGCAGGTGATTGAACTGCACAATCCTGCAAATTTAAATGGATAAAAAATTGAAATAAATTCTTAAAAATAAACATTGATATTATCCTCTGAAATTAAAAAAAAAAAATTATTTCTGCCAAGTGTACTCTTAACCCGTCCAAGGGGATGCAAGTTTTTCCATAGACTGCATTTAAAAAAGGTGGAATTGGATTAGGATATCTCATCTTTCTCTGTGAATTGCAAAAATTATTTATTTTGTGCTGTTTTGCCTTACACTTTTATGTCTCTCTTTTTACAACCCATCATTTGCATCTATTTGAAGGGTTGACTCTCTCAGTTGTGTGTACCCCACCAGCTGATGAAACAATTGGATCACATAGATTGAGCCAGCAAATTCTTCCCGCTACCTTAGAGGGAGACAAGAAAACCTTGAAAAAGAAGAAAAAGAACCAGTTCTTTAAAACAATGGTAAGTGTTGTGTTTCTATCTCTATGGAAAGGAGGAAAAACAACTTGTAAATCCAGTAATTAAATTTGCCCACATTTCGAAGTACAAAGAAGCAAAGCGTTTAAGAAGTCATGGACCCGACTTCCAGAGAAAACTATGCAAAGCTTATCTTCTACTTAAATTTCTAGTGCCAATACATTTTTTTTTTAGCTAAGAAGCAATGAATATTCTCTCCTAGGAACAAAGGGATGTATAATGTACTGCATCTTGCATACCTCCACATACACTAGGTTCAGAGATGTAGTGCTGTATCCATGCCACAAGAGGTCTCATTTGACCAACTGATTTTCTTTTGCCTGATCTGTACAACTTTTTAATAGCAAATATAGGAAATAATTATTTTTTTGTATTTTTAATCTGGCATCTAGCATCACAGTAGTTGCTAATAGTGTATAGTGCAAAATATGCTTATACAGATGCATGGGTCAGTTCTGATGTCAGATACATTTCCAATTGAAGTCAGTATTTGATTCAGCCTGGAGTCAGTATAGCTCACTGAAACAGATGGTGTTCCTCTAATTTAGCAAAATTCCCGTTGTTGTAAATGAAAGTTTTATACAGTTGAAGTGCATAGAACTTGATCCAAAAAAAAGTTTTTCAGGTCAGATGCTAAGATCAGAAGTTCCAAAAATTTCTCTAAAAATGGTACATGCATTGTAGAGGATTCCCTTCGGGTCATGGAAGGCTATATTTGATACACATGCCAGAAGTTGCTGATATTCACAGTGGTGGAACTTACCATGATATCTATAATATTTTACATGCATCACCAGTATTGCTGACATTACAATTTTTTCATAAATTTCATTTCAGCCCTTTTGTACTTTAAAAAGGCATAACTTGCTCTCCTCTAAAAGAGTTAAACAGCATTCTATTCTAAAAAACCTAAATTTAATGGTTCATAGATTCATAGATTCATAGATGTTAGGGTCAGAAGGGACCTCAATAGATCATTGAGTCCGACCCCCTGCATAGGCAGGAAAGAGTGCTGGGTCTAGATGACCCCAGCTAGATGCATATCCAACCTCCTCTTGAAGACCCCCAGGGTAGGGGAGAGCACCACCTCCCTTGGGAGCCCGTTCCAGACCTTGGCCACTCGAACTGTGAAGAAGTTCTTCCTAATGTCTATTCTAAATCTGCTCTCTGCTAGCTTGTGGCCATTATTTCTTGTAACCCCCGGGGGCGCCTTGGTGAATAAAACCTCACCAATTCCCTTCTGTGCCCCCGTGATGAACTTATAGGCAACCACAAGGTCGCCTCTCAACCTTCTCTTGCGGAGGCTGAAAAGGTCCAGGTTCTCTAGTCTCTCCTCGTAGGGCTTGGTCTGCAAGCCCTTAACCATACAAGTGGCCCTTCTCTGGACCCTCTCCAGGTTATCCGCATCTCTCTTGAAGTGCGGTGCCCAGAATTGCACGCAGTACTCCAACTGCGGTCTGACCAGCGCCCGATAGAGGGGAAGTATCACCTCCTTGGATCTATTCGTCATGCATCTGCTGATGCATGATAAAGTGCCATTGGCTTTTCTGATGGCTTCGTCACACTGCCGACTCATGTTCATCTTGAAGTCCACTAGGACTCCAAGATCCCTTTCCACTTCCGTGCCACCCAGCAGGTCATTTCCTAGGCAGTAGGTGTGCTGGACATTTTTCCTCCCTAGCTTTTCTAGCTTTAATCTTTCTAATAGGACTGAGAATAAAATAACTACCTTGCTTACTCAAATACAAAACAAAGTGATTTTCCACATTTAATAAGGAGGAGGGGAAAGCGCCTCATCTTGGATTTGAGTACAATGCAGTGCCTGGAGGGTAAGTGGATGCTGTGGCTCTGGCTTTGGACCTGACCCAGGGTCAGGATCAGAATCACAGCTGCTGCCTGCTCCCTTCCACCCCCACCACCTCTGTTGTTCCCCACATTGTGTCTCCAGCTCCCTGCTGTTGTAGTGGCAGTGGCTCTGTCTGGCCCCAGAGCCTGGGCTAGAGTTGCCACCTCTACCACTGCTACCGAGCCATGTTGGGGCTGCAACAAGTACATGCCTCATGCCCCAGACTGGAGTGGGGCTAGACCTGTAGGGTAAGCATCAGGGAGCAGGCAGGCAGTGGTTGCAGTATGTGGGAGATAGCAGGGGGAGCACATGGTGGGGTGAGAATGGGTACAGACACCAGAGAAGGGCAGGTGATGGGGGGTGCAGGCATTGGGGGACAGGTAGCAGGGGAGAAGGTGCTAAGGGAATGGCAGGCAGCAGGGTGGACAAGTGGTGTGGGGGACTGACAGCAGGGGTCAGGTTGCTTGACTCCCACACTGCCTACTCCCCCCACTCCCTATCTACCTCTCCTTTGCCTACTTACCCACCACCTTCCCCATACTGTCTCCCATCTGACTGCTCCCCTTCTCCTCACTTGTCCTTTGACCACTGCTTTTCCTGCTGTAGTAGTGGGGGGAGGGAAAGGGGAGGTGATAACTCTTCAATAATTAGATTCTCTACATAGAAAATTATAGCAAATCATTACATTTTTCTTGTATAGAATTTAATTATGGGGGGAGGGGTCATTTTAAATTCAGAGTTGTCTTGAATTTGGGTAAATACAGCATGACTTTGGTTTTATTTATTTCAAATGTGCCTCAGAATGACTGAGTTGTATAATCAGTATGTACAATGTAGCCTCTTCTACTAATTAAAATAATTAACATATGAAATGAGAGAGGCATACTTTCCATTTCCACAAGTTCAGCAAGTACTGAATAAAAGCTTAGAGCCTCATCAAGTGATAACTTAAGTAGGTGTGTATCTAACTTCACATCACTGTGATTACGTAAGTGAAGTTATGCTTGTATTTATGGTTTTGTAGAATATGGGAATTAAAGGTATTCTGGGTTTATTATGGGATATTCCTTTTGAAGTAATAAAAATGAGATTAAAAACATAAGCTAATTTCTGTATATATGTACAAATGGAGTCCAGGCACACCCACTTGTGACTATATGATCCTCTGTTTTTCCTTTATACAGCGCATTTCCAAACTGCCTGAGGATGGGAAACACTCTGGAGAGCGTAACTTTGAACCCTTATCCAAAGATCTGTGAATTCCATTGCTTACAAGACAAATCATTTCCCAGCTGCCCTCCTCCAAACCCCACCCCCACACACCAAAAGTATGCGACTATTCTAGTGCAGGTCAATTGTAGAGACATCATTGACATAACTTATGGATGATAGATAATGCATACAAGTAGCATTCATGTCTGTGATTCTGTTATAAGCATTTCAAACTAATATGGATGTATTAGGAGAAACTGAAAGTATATAGTGATTATAAATGGTGTGCTAACAGGGATGTGGGGCAAAAATACAGTGATCCTGTTAATGCAGGAGAAGTAAAAGTCATGGTATGCTTATTTTTTATGTAATTCATTCCAATGAAAAAGGATGTCACTAGGTCATCTGCACTGGTGACTATTCTTTTGACAGTTTAATGGAAGGTTTCAAAAATTCGTCCTACTCCTGTTCCCATTAAAGCACATGGAAATGGTATCACTATTACTTATATCATTGCACTCCAGAAGTATGACTGCAGACCAACATGAGCTTACTTTAAACTACTGACAACAGTGGAGCTATAGCACTGTGGAACTCCGCGTGGGTTAGTCACTTATGTACTTCCAAGAAGGTTTTGAAGCCTTTACTGATCCTCATTTTGCTACTACAGTTTTATATACCCAAGCTAACATGGAAGCAGAATCAGCCCTTTACTGTAACACCATATGCCTGATTTTCTTCTCAAAACAGCAGTAGCTGCTTTGTATTGAAAACCTTTGCCAACATGTATATACAAGAGCTGATACCACATCTGATTGTATGGTATAAGTAAAGCTGTTTTCTCTGCAGTTCAGCAATAAAATTTTAAATGTTTCTTTTATTTGCCTTGAATCTTTTTAAATGGAATGTCATGGTGAAATATGTGTTAATTGTTTTTTACTGACAACAAAAGGAACTTGACACCTCCATATCCCTTGCTTTCCAAATTTAATTGATTTTCTGCTTATGTGACATGTGATAGAGTTTGAACATAGTTCCTTGTTGGCGTGAAACTAAACAGCAGTGCAGGTCAGTATCTTACCTTTTTTCTTAGAGCTGTCTGGTTTTGTTTTTTTTTAAACAAAAATGACATCTCAAGCACAAAATAAATTAGACTCAAAGGTTTCCCAAAAAGAGAAAGGACAACTGCTCTTCCTTAGGTTACCACAGCAAAGTGCATGTAATGGATTATCATAAAAAACATTTTAATGGTAAGAACACTAGGCTTAGGGCAATGAAACAAGCTTCTGAGGGGAGTCAGAGAACTTTCTTCATTGGAGATTTTCAGAGGCTAGGGACAGACATTACACATACACTGGTTTAAGTGATCAGAAACTGGTTTAAACCTGTAACAGAACAGAAGTTCAGTGCACATAAACCAGTTTGAAAATGGCTGAAACCAGTTTGAGATAAACCTGGTTGAATGTAGTATCAGACTCAACTGATTCGGCTTAAACCAGTTTATGCAATGTCTGTTCCAGACCTCTTGCTGGTTTAAGATAAAACAGACTCCCCCAGCATCCCAGCATACTCTTTGGGCTGGGTGGGGCTCTCTGTTCCACAGCAGGAACCATATCCCTAGCCCCATCCCTCTGCTCCCTGGCCAGAGCTCTGGCAAAGACCACAGGAATAGCAGGGTCTGCCTGGCTTCCCCCTACCTCCCCCACTTCTTATCTCCCATAGCATGGACCCTAGCTCCACGGAGCCTAGGCATGTGGTATGCTAGCTAATGCTGAGAGGTGTCTCTGTGTGGGAGTGTCTCCAATTTCACTGGGACAGGCAGACAGAACAGTGACTGCTTAGGGCTTTTTGGAGCTAATCAACAGGTCAGCGGGTAAGCTGTTTAAGAAGAGTTTGAATTAATGGAGAGAGGCTATTGTTTTGTTGATGAGGTGATAAACACTGTTATCAGGTCCCCGCTGGCTTGCTCCCCTTCAGTTTACTGCAGACAGTATAAAGAAGCAGGGAGAGGGAGATTGAAAAGCTCCATTCCATCAATAGATGCATGCACTGCACAACCCCCTTGCCTCAGAGTACTAGCAGAGGCCTGGGGTCTAGCAACACTCACACCCCTTGAGCAGTGAGTGGTGAAAAGCCTGCGATGGTGCAGGCAGACCTCCCTAATCAGAGGTCCAACCGGGGCCTGGCCACGTCTTCCCTCAGCTCAGCAGCCTGTGGAGGGGAAGGGAGGTCTGCTCTAGCGCCCCCCAGGATCTAGCTTGAGCCACTGGCGGCATGTGATTTAATTCCCTCAGTCCAGAAAGAATGTCTGTCCAGTTGTAAACCAGCTCTGACTAACCTGCAAAGATTGAATCAATTCAGGCTCAGGCTTTTTGAATGTCTGTCCCTAGCCAAAAAGACTGGATATGGACACGTTTGCTGGGATGATTTAGAAATATCGGATCTTGTAGTCTCATGCAGGGCATTGGGCTAGATGATCCCTGGAGGTCCCATCTGACTCTGGTTAGATAGACAATTCAAGGCCCTTGTTTGTACTCTATACCTGTATGGGAAGGTCTATGCTGATTAAATAATATGTTCCTAATTATAAGGTTTAAACAGCTGGTACAATTATTATACCTGATTTTGTTCGGATAGGTAAAGTAAAAAAGGTGGACATATCAATGGAAATATTTCTTTAGTTTGTTTTATACTTGTTTATTTTATAAATCCAATTATATTCATCATGAATAATTTACTTATTGAGTATAGCATATTTCTGTTTGCAGGTTGTCACTGAGCAGCACTTTTTTCAAGTGTAAATCATTACTAAAATAAGTAACATTTGCTTTCTGTGAGATTTCTCTAGTACCTACTGTTTGCACTAATATTCCTGCAAGAAGCTTGTTCACTAAAATTACTGCAGCTGCAAAGTCAAATGGGTTCCCAGTTGTGGCTAATTCATCGATTCTCTGCATGAGTATTAGCATTAGGTTTTTGTTGTATTTGCTTTTCTAAACTACTCAACAGTGCTTGTGAGTGAGGAGGAAAAACCAGAACAGGACCTTCCCAGAAAGAACAATTTCAATGACATGAGCAGGGAAGAGGGGGGGGCGTGTGTGTGTGCACGCGCATGTGCCCATGAGAAAGAAAGAGTGAGTGTGTGAGAGAGAGAGAGAGAGCCTGATGATAATGAATAGAAAGGAGTTAAAAAGAAGAATGCATAATTTTACATCATCCTGGGTTCAGGGTTGTTACTGGGTTTTATGTTTGATACCGCTTCCAAAGACATTAAATGATTCCTGATGAGATAAATGCAGTATTATTTTATTGTCATTTCCACAAAGTTGAATACATTTTTAAAAGAAAAGTTCTGGTCTTTATTCAGAGAATATTAAGGAGAAACTATTTTTTCTCTGTAAAAATAGCACTTAATGGGACAATTTTCCTTATTGTACTGTAGTATGTCTGTATTTGTTTTTTAAGGACCTCCTGTGTTGCAGTATCCCGGAAGGACAAACTCTTTCATCAAATAAGAGCTGATTATAAGAGCTCTAAGTAAATCAGTAAGTTGGTAGGCTATAATAAAAGCAATGTGACTTAAAAGGGAAATATCAGAAATGTGCAGAACAGTGGAGGTGAAAGGAGGACACTAGAAACAAATGACCAGGAAGAAATAACATGAATCCAATGGAGATTTAGCCAGTGGTATAAGATTCAGATTCTTGGTTGGTCTAGGATTTACACTAGAACTTAGCCAGCTGGCACAAAAAAGAAGTCTTATTAGATTTTCCAGTACTGTAGATTGCCACTACCTCTGCCAAGCTTCTCTTGGTTGTTGGATTTTCCCAGGGTTTCAAAATTAGTCCAGGTTAAATGAAGTAACACTGATTGGCATTAATTAGGTCAAGTAAATCAGAAGGTAAAGTCATGGTGTAACTGAGCACCATGCTTCAACCACCTATAAGTTTCCAGACACAGTGAATATACGTGACAGTTAGTATGTGAGTAAATGATGTGGCAGGAAGAACAGACAACACCATGAATTAATAAATTGTATGCGAGGCTGTTTGGCAGCAGCTGTTTGAAAATATGAATTAGCACTGATTAGTGTTGTTTTGTCACAGACAAAATAAGTCTCAAGTACATTTTGTTTGAGGAGAATTTACTTGACTTGCAAGAGACAAGAATTCTTGTGGGTGATATCTTTTCTTTTTTTGGACCAAGTGAACTCCATTGTTGGGGTAGAAATAGACAAGTTTTCAGGTATCACAGTATCAGTACCCTTCCTCAGGTCTGGGGGAGAGAAACAGATTCAGGAGAGCTAGCAGAAGATGGGGTGAAAACTTGTGTAAAATTCCATATGTAAATAAAAACAGGATCTAAGAGAAATTAAGGTAGCCAACAAACAAGAGAAATGCAGTAAAAATTCAATAATGGAAGAACAAGATTGTTCAGAAGGAGCATTATTACCTGTTAAGTGCAGAGATTAGTATCAGGTAAGTAACAATGGGTCATGAAATGATTGTCTATGTTACGTCCCTGGTAACTGTGTCCAACAGGCTACTGCATTTTTGTTTTCAGGCTCATCTTTCAAAGACTTTTCAAAGATTTTCTTTAAGTATGAGAACTGGGAGGCCAGACAGGGTGTGATTTTCCTGTGAAAAATGTTCTAGTGTCCTATATCTTTCTTTTCATTAAACATTCATTCTGGTGCATATTTTTTGTCTGGTTTCACCCACGTAGTTTCAATGTATGATCTGTGGATTCTGCCTGATCCATGGATGCTGATGGTTTTGTTGTGGGGAATTGATTGTTGTAGTAGTAGAGATGAGTTGACAAGTCTTGCATTTATTGTTCAGGCAGGGCTGACTCCTATTAGATGTCTGTTGATCAGCAGGGAGCCTGCGTCTGATGATGAGGCAGAGGGGCTGGGCATATTTCTCTCAAGGTCTTGTCCTTTTCAAGTATACGCTGGAGTTTTTTGAGAATACTTCTTATTGGTTTAAGTGTGGGATGATAGGTGACAACCAAGGGCAGGCAGTCAGTTGGGGTTTTTCTCATTTATCATAGTAAGTTGCTGAGGGGTATTTTAATGGTTCTGTCAAAGATATGGTCTGTTTCTTGTGCGGGCCAGGAGCGGTCCGAGGCCCTCGGGGGCACGCGGCGGGCTGTGGCCAGCAGCCCTGGCACGCGGGTCAGGGAATGCAGGCCGGCAGACTAGAATTAGGCACGGACACGTAGCGGTTGATTAAAGATTATTTTACTTACACCGTAGATGGTCGCGGTGCAGACAGGAAAAACTTGCTTGCATTGCAGTTACAGACGGACACGTGGAGTTTGCTAGGCTCCACAACACAAACTCGAACAAGACCCGCAGAAAACTCGAGCCTCTTGAAATAACTCGGACAGAGCTCTGGATACACACACTCACGAAGTTTGCTAGGCTCCGTGGAACAAAAGGGCGCAGGGAAGGGGTTTGTCGAGGGATCGCGCTCGGCGACGGGGAGAGGCCAGAGGTTGGTCAGACCCCTATAGCCTTCTTAAGGTACACACTGGGTCCGTTAGGCTCCGCAGCGCTTAGAGTTCTTCACAAGACGTGAAGTTCTCCTCCTCCACTAGATGTTGGTGGGTGCCTCCACCTGGGGCGGAAACCCCTAAAGCCTCTTATACGGCTAGCAAGCCAATCGCTAGCCGCCACGTTGGAATAATTTAGAGTCGGCCAATAGTGGGACACAAATTTGCATGCAGGTGGCGGGAACTCCTTTGCACCGGGGTTTTCTCTTTGCAACTGAGAAATGTACCCTGCAAAGAAAGCTCCTCATGGCAGGAAATAATTTAGCAGTGCCGAAGCGCACACACACAAAATC